TAGAAAATGAAGATGAGTTGGAATATAATTATGAAGAAGACTTACTAGTGGTTAATGATATTATGATATTAGATGATACAGTATTTACTGATGAAAATGATAATATTAGTAATGAAACTGATGAAGTTTTGGATATTGAAAGTCAAAATAATGATTTAAATTATAACACAAATAATTTAGTTTCAATAATTTTGGATTATGACTTGGAAAATGAAAATAATAATGTATTAGATAATGAGAATAATAGTATTGAATTTGGAAGTGACAATGTTTGTTTGAAAACCCACATCAGGAAGATATGTTTCTAAATGGAAGTGGAAGTTTAGAGATTGAAAGCAGTGACAATTTTGAAAACAGAGTCACTCATTACTTAGAAAGTGAAGATTGTAATTTAGAAGATGGGAATAATGATGTGGAGATTGAAGATATCTTAACACAAACAATGATAATTGCAATATATCAAAAAAAAAAAGAAAAGTCAAAACTTATATCAACATAATTTACATAGAAGAAATGCTGATAATGGAGTCACAAAAAATAAAAAACAAAAATCTAAATAATTGTTAATTGACAACATAATAAAAATTTATTTTAATAAAATTAAATCTGATTTTTACTTTTAATTTTTTGTTTTGCCAATGACTTCAATGATTTGACTTTCATCAATGATTTGACTTTCATCAATGGTTTTGACTTTCATCAAGGGTTTAGTCTTTCGTCATTTTTAGTGTATTTGATGAAATTGTTTCTCAATTCCAAAAACATTTCATCATGCAACATTAGTGTGTAGAGGTTGGAATCGTCCAAAAAATCCTTAGTTGACTACTAGTTGGTCAAAATTTCTTTTAGTCGACTAAATTTTTTTAATACTAGTGTGTAACCATTTGCTTTGCAAAATGGTCACACTAGTCACAGGAATAACATCCTATTTAATCAGAATATTCATTCTGTTTCATTATATTAACGTTTTTTTTTAATTTGCAGATGAAGCTATATGTTATAATTCGTTTTTTTAAAGGTCTGGAACCACTGCTTGAGCTCGAAGCCAACGAATTGTTGGAAT